GACACTCCTACCTTGTCAGTCCACCTTGTAGATGTAAAGTCAGAGACGATAGCTCATCTGCTGCTGCACAGTTTGTGTTGGTCATCCTCTAGTCCTTCATCAGTGGTCACAGGACGCTGCCCACAGGACGCTGTTGGCTGGATATTTTTGGTTGGTGGACTATTTTCAGTCCAGCAGCGACACTGAGGTGTTTAAAAACTCCAGCAGCACTGCTGTGTCTGATCCACTCAGACCAGCGCAACACACACCAACACACCACCACCACATCAGTGTTGATGCAGTGCTGAGAATGATCCAGTAGTGGAGCTGATAAAACGGACAATGAGGTGGTCATAATGTTATGGCTGATCGGTGTATATATGAATATATTGTGTAAGTTTCTGTATGTAATACTAATAAACAGGAGTTTCCAAAATTGGAGTTAAAAAAAAGACTTAAACCAAAAAAAAATTAAAGATTAAAAACCCCATGGAAAATGTGTCTCCTAACAACCACCTGGAAGACCTACTAGACCACCAAAACTGCCCCCATCAGATAAACAGCACTTAAAGCTTTCATCTTTGAGGGAGAGGAGAAAATCAAGCTGCTTCAGATCTGAAAACATCCACAGGTGTTTCTGTCCATCCTTCCACTGTGAGAAGACGACTCAGCGCTGTGGGTCTGAAAGGATGTGTAGCTGTTCAGGAAGAACCTCACTGAGAAAAGGAGACGGACACATCAAACAAAGAAGCTGAACAATGGACTGACCACCCCAGAGTCCAGACCTCAACACCACTGAATGGGTTTTGAATGTGATTTACTTGGAATTTAAGCAGCAGAATTTAAAAACAGAAGCAATAGAGATAAAAGTGTTCAGACACCAAGGATTAAGAACATTAGTACTTTGTTGGCATTTATAGCTTTGAGACATCTACATCAAAAAGTACTTAGCTTTTTGCAGCATTGAGATCTTGACAAACCGTCTCAAATTCCTCAAGGTTATGATGGTCCATCTGTTGGATTCACAATTTCAAAAACCTCCATGCATTTTTATTGGGATTAAAGTCAGGAGATTGGCAAGGCTACAAAAGCACCTTCACCTTTTTTAGAAACCAGTTATTTTGGCTATATGTTGTTGTTGTCTTGTTGAAACATCCCTGAATTTCACCCCCAGATTCAGTTTCTTGGCTGACAACATTAAATTCTCCTCTAATGTGTCCCGGTACATTGCTTCAATCATGTGACTATGATGCTCCCGCCACCATGCTTCACTGTGGGTGCTCTTGGTTTGGAGCTGAATTATTGCCATATAGTTCTATATTTCTTTAGTCTGATCAGAGTACATTGTTCCACATGAGTTCTGATTTGGCTTAACGGAGGTGCGCATGTTTTAGATGAACGGAGATAAGTGTGGTTGTAATGGGGCTGAGGCATGTTGCAAGTGCGAAGTGACTTTATCAAGGGCATTCTGATACCCATTGTCATTGCAGGCAGCGGTCAACACACAGGCAGGCAGGAAATGATGTAGATCCATAATCAGAGATAACAAAGAAACTACCAGGGGTCAAAATCAGGAAAAGCCGAACACAAGAAACTGTCTGTCTGAGAACTCTTTGCAAATACAATGAATACACAGGGATATTTGTAGCAGACTTAATGTCCTTGGAATGGCCTGCAGGTGTGTGGGAGAGGAGGAGAGTGGGCGGAACCAGGGAGAGTCCAAGTCACTCTCCCCAGAACCCAGAAGGGGGTGGATATGGCAGTGATGCTTATTGTTTTCTGTGTAACCTTGTTTTTGCAGCTTTCAGGTCTTTTCAAGTGACTTCCAGCTTCTCTTTTACCTTCCTTATCATTAGTGAGAGAGAAAAATCTTGCATGGCGCAACTTCCATGAACTTTCCTCTTGCATATTATCAGATTAATTGTACTGACAGGGAAGTTTAACCCTTTAAAATCCCAGCCCTATTACATACTGAGGCTTATTATTCAGTAACTACAGGGTCTTCAATGCAAACTGGTGGAGCTATTCTTAGGTTATAGATGTGTGTAATAAAACCTGGCCATTTAAGAGGTTAAGGTCGTTGCTAGTGCTCTGTAGCTTTTTCCATTCAAGTGCTGCTTAATAATGTTCTCCCTTTGAATTTTTGGAAGCTCCTACACTTTTACCCTGTTTGCCATATGTGGCATGACAGCTTATAGATCTAGTACATTTCTGTTTATATTGATACGTACGAAGACAAAAGACATTATGTGGGTGAATCTGAATGTGAATATGCACTGAAAATGTATTAAATGACTTCCCCTCACTGTATGTCTAACAATATGGTCCCATATGTATTATATACACTCACATGAATTAATAACAGCAGTAATAACTCAGATGAGTGCTTGTATGTGCGTGCGAGTGTGTGCATATGCAAATTTGTGTTTGCGTACGCGGTGATCCCGCAGTCGCGGCTTACGCAAATGCATTGAGTCATTTCAGCTTTTTTCCACTGATGCAGCCTCGCTCTTCAGTGGCCTTAAAAACTTCTCCTCTCTCTTTTTCCCTTTCTGAATGATTTAAAAGTACACATGCACACAAAAACCCACTCAAACATTTATAAACCTCATTCTCAGCCTGGCTTATTAAAGCTAGCATAGTTAGCATCCCTGCTAGAGAGAAATAAAGACAGTAGACAGCAAAAGACAAACTCACAGGCTCATGTAAAGTACATAAATAGTCTATACAGACAGCAGCGGGTCTTCAGCCAACATTGACATGATCCCTGATTTGGAAGAGAGGCATTCCATCGCAAAAGCTTCGCTAAGACAACCTCGAAGAAACAGATTAAAAAAAAAAGAAGAAAAAAGAGGACGCCAAAACCCCTCTCCATTATCTCGTCTTTTTCTTCCGCTTTTCTGCTCTGAAATCTATTGAATGTGGGCTGGAGCGGAAGGAGAGCAGAGCGAGGACGGCGGAAAATGAAAAATCGCATGAGGAAAAAGGACTTGCCAAGATGAGCCTGTCATTAGCCATTCAATAGAGATTAGCTTGTCATCTCCTCCGGCTCAAAGGGGAAAAATGAGTTGAGAAAAATGGACGGAGGGATGAAAGAAACGGCTCATGGTGGATAGGCTGATTTTGCTTGGCCTGCGTGGCCCTGATGGACGTATATAGGGTCAGCTGTTTAGCATAATTGAAAGTGAACTGCTAATGAGGTAAATCGACGGTTTCCCACTGACAGGACAGTGAGGGTTTGAGGTTCTGTAGTGGCTGTAATGGTCTCAATTATCTGTATGTGTGTGGTTCAGTGGCTCGGTGGCTCAAAGGTTAAGGACTCGAGCTGTTTCTATTCTAATGAACTCGTTTTGGCCCCCGAAGCTGCCGACTGCTACAGCGCTCTACTGAGAACACTGTGCGCTTCAGACTTCACTCGCTCACTGCCTCGGTCTGTTTATACTGCTCTATAGGAGGGAATACAGAGGCCCTATCTTTAGGCTGGCTTTTCAAGCTAGTTGCAGGTTCTGAGTTATGTGAAATGCAGTTTCTATACATGTCTGCATGTAATGTTCACTCACTGACCACTTTGTTAGGGACATTTACCATAGAAGCACTTGGGACCCTACCCCTTGGTTTCGCATATCATCTTGCCCTTTGGAGTGGAGTTACAGGGGGTAGTGGTTGACATCTTCCCTCTATGAAATGGGACCCTCAAATAAAAAAGAGCATCACTTCATTAACAGCTACCAGCGCTGCTCTGTAGGCGCCCCTGCCAGTCTGCAGTGACAGCAGAGGAGGGTAAAGTTCAGCTCCTCACTGCTGGGCTTTAGTTACATTTAGGGATCATATGCCTTCAAAGAGGGGGGCAATTAGTTATTATCACCCACCCCTAATTCTTCAGTGATATGAAGCTGAAGTCAGATATTCACCAGCTTCTTGTTTGATTTTTTTCCATTCCACCTTAAATGGTGCAGTAGTAACTGCTGCACCATTTAAGATGGAATGGGAAATTTAGCTAGCTAAGACATCAGCATACTACTAACAGTTTTATGCTTGTTATGAAGTTTGTTATGACCATAAAACGCTGAAACAACAACGCTGAAATTCTCACATTTGTGGGTTTCTTTGGTCACCTGCGCAGCCGTCTTGCCGATTTTTCTTTTTTTCTCATAACAATCCACCTCTGAAAAGCCTCCGTTTGGAGGGCCATGTAGCCCTAACACTTCACCACCCCACCCCTTTATCTCAATCAGGACACCCTGCCCCTAGACGTGAACATGCAAAACGGAGGGGTAAGTGTTAGGGGCAAGGGGTGAAATGGGATTGGGCCTTTTTAGTTCTATACATTGTAGTCCCACTGTCTCTCTATATCATTTGTTAGCCCCCCTCCTTTACCCCATTCACCAATGGTCAAGTCCCCCACAGGACCAGCACTAAAGCAGATATTATTTGGGTGGTGGATCAACAAAGGTATGTTGGGAGAAAAAAAGGATTAGCATTTGATGAAAGGAACACCTTGCCTACTGTTAAGCATGAGGTTGGATCTATTATGCTTTGGGGTTGGTACAGAAAACATTGCCCAGATAGATGGAAGAACAGATTCACAGATTCACATGACACAAGACAATGATCCCAAACATACCTCAAAATCCAAGCTATTCAATAAGAAATGCAAGCAGAGGCTGTTTAAATCCTCTGGATTGAACATCGTTGAAAACCTGAGAGATCTTTTACAGGAATATTACAGAAATAGAAACATTCTGCGATTAAGGGTAGGTGAAAATTACTAAAACAAGATTCAAGCTGGCTACAAAAAGTGTTTACTGTTTACTGTTATTGGCCAAGAGATTCTATATTGGTGCAATCTTCTCTGTCTTCGTTCTGCCTCTCTGGGTTCTTTGTGTGGTCAGATTTTTGAGGAGGTGAAAATTTCAAATCTTCTCTTCGTATTTTGTTTTTTCACGTCTTTTGTTCATCGTATCGAATGAGAGTGTGGAAGGCTTCGTTTAACAAGGCTCTTCTTTTGTTTTCTCTCTCAGGACACAGAGATTTTGAACACAGCCGTGCTGAACGGCAGAACCGTGGCGGTGCCGGTCAAAGTGGTGACAGTGGCGGTGGACAGTACGATTACAGACATATCGGACATAGTGGAGTGCCGGTCAACAGATGAGGACGTGGTCAAGGTCAGTGAATTAAACACTGTTACTCTGTACAACAATCATACATGTAATTTATACAGACTAATACACAGAATAAATGACCTTTATACTGTAGAATGAAGCTCCATGGTCAGATTACATACTTATATTTACATTTTCACTTCTGCACATTTTAATGCACAATGACTGTTTATTTGAATAAACAAAGAAAACCATGATTTATTTGTTGCATTATGTTGAACTTGAAACTTGAAATTGGCAGAAAAATGGTTTTAAAATGTGGAATTTATTTTCATTTAGAAAATCAACAAATAATGTAATTTAACTAGGGGGTGTACAAACTTTTGCAGACGACTGTACATTTATAATTTTATGCAGCACCATTTCAAGCTATAAGTATGTGCAGTTGTTAATGGCCCCTGGCTTTGTGCTTTTTATGATATATTTGATATAATTTGTCAAAAAAATGTCAAAAAAATATTTTTAAGCCTTTTTCTTTATGAAAATTAAGTCTTAATCCTTGTTTTATTCTTTTATACAAAAGAACGATATTGGAGCAGGGAGTGTGTTGCTTAGGCCCAATAAATTAACATAATAAATAAACATATTTCATTTTATATCTGGCCTCTATATACCTAGAAGAAAATATGTACAGTTTGATATACAATATGATCCGAAATAAAATATACAGTTATGCTGCTAATATGAGCATGATTTAATTACTATTTACACTCCCACACGTATTATTTGACTGTAAATGTTGAAAAATGTTCATATTCTGCTGAGCAAGTGGTGAAAAAGTTTGGTTTTGTGTTTTTTGTGAACTTAAAACTGCGATTTTTAGGTCAGTTTTATTTAATAGAATCATCGTTGTTGTATTTAAACTTAGCAAGTATTGCAGTAATACTCTTATGTCATAATTTAGTTTTGGTTGTAAACAAAAGAGTTAAAATCTTTGTCCAATCAGGATTGCTTTCTCTGTGGTATCTAGGTAAAAACAGCCAAGCGAGCTCTCTCATTGGTTAGGACTTCAGGAGCTGGACTGAAGACCTTAGATGTTAAATTAACTACCAACCTAATTAGAAACTGACAGTCAAATGGACCAATCACATTTTGATTTACAGTAAGTGGTGAGAAAAAAATAGTTAGTTAGTTGTTAGGAATTAAAAACACACACTAATACATTTTCTAAGCCGCTTATCCTTCTGGATCACGGGAAGGAGCTGGAGCCTATCCCAGTGGTCATTGGGCGGAAGGCAGGAAACACTCTGGACAGGTGGAATGAAAAAAAAAAGGCAGCTTTCAAAAATAATGCATACAAGCTCAAATACATGTTAATGTCTGAGACAGGCTTCAAATAAAACATATGGATTGTCTTTACAAGTTGTTTAATCTAGAACAGACAAAAATAGCCATGTGCACCAGCTTTAGCTGACAGCTCAATTAACATTAGGAATGCCATAGGGGTGCTAGCAATTAGCATTATTATAAAGGTGGGATATCTGGGGCTCCTGAGTGGCGCAACCGTCATCAGGGGATTGCGAGTTCGATTCCCAGTGATGCGACAGCCGTCCAAGGGAGCACAATTGGCCTCACTCCTTGGCACGATGTTAGTCAGTGCAGGCGTCTGTTAGCTGACGTAACAGATCTGGTGGTTGGCGCTTTCCTCCAGATGCGTTCAGCTGACCGATGACCTTGCATTAGCAGTAGTTCGAAAAGATGCGGTGGAGCTTCAGCAGGTCTCAGAGGAAGTCTGTGTTAGCCTTCGCCCTCCTAGCACTGGTGGTATTGTGTGATTGGGGGAGTCCTAACTAGCGGGTGGAATTAGATATCACTAAATTTAGGAGAAAATTGGAAAAAATGAAAAAAGGTGGGATGTTTTAAATATATCATATATATTGCTGCTGTCTGAATCTCCATTATCACCATAATTCATGATGAACAGACCAGCAGAAATGCTCCAAAAGTGCTTGGAAATTTGGAAAAAATGTAGTTCTATTAATGTCCATTCAAAATTGCGAATGTTTTTTTTTCCTATTCCTTTAAAGTTAATATTTTGGAATTACAAGGTTTTGTTCCGACAGTAACGATATATGTACATGTATGTACATATATAAATAAATAAATAAATATATGCACACATACATGGTCACTGTAAATAATAATGTACCCATCAGAAACATACTTTTCGATCCAGTGGAAAGAAACTACTCGAGAAGTGGAATGATCTTCATTTTATGTAACCAATCATAAAAGTATCTGAAGAAGTAGGGTCTCATTGTTTCAAATTAATGGAAATTCTCAAACCCGCTGACAGAAACTTCATGAAGATCAGGTTGGTCTGAAAGCTAATCTTGTTGAACGGCAGGACTGTTCGTGTTCAGTCTCCACATATCTTGTTAAATCAGTGACGTCAGAGAAGTTTCTCCATCCAGAGCACCGATTCTAAGCCCGCCACGCTGTGAATGCTCACCGTGTGCGAGTATTCAGGATGATGAAAGCTGACAGATTTGCTCTTTCTTCTCTTTTTCCTCTGAGCTTGCAGAAAACGCAGCATCTGACCTCCATCGCAGTTCAATCACATGGAATATAATTAAGCTTGATTACAGGCTTCAGAGGCTCAGAACATTGTGGCTAAATTATGCAAGTAAAAAGTTAGGTTTCAAGCCTAGTATTAAGAATTCAATAGCTTTCACAATTAAAATCTTTTGTCACTTTTTTCTTTCACACCAAATGAAGCAAAAAAAAAAAGCATGAGAAAGTCATTATTTGGTTGCTTCCTGGGAGAGAATGTGAGAGAATTATGCTGAGCTCATTGATGACAAGACAGAAATCAATTATGATTCTGTATATAGTGCACAGCTGTTATTTACGCAGATTAGCATCTTATGCAGAGATGAGGACGTTTAGTATTACCTCCAGAATTGCAGGCACACATAAGACTATTTTTTTTTTGCCTTTCTTAATTCTTCTATGGAAGAATGGCCTTCCTTTATGTTTCTCTGATTATCCAGTGCTATAATATTACAAGGGGAAGTGCATGAAGCACTAAATGCTGAACAAAGTTTCCAAAAATGGAGTTCAAAAACTGATTTAAAGCTACAGAGAAAATGAGACTCCTAACAACTACCTGGAAGACCTGGTAGACACCAAAACTGCCCCCATCAGATAAACAGCACTTAAAGCTTTCATCTTTGAGAGGGAGGAGAAAATCAAGCTGCTTCAGATCTATAAAGATATGTAGCTAAATATCTTTTGTTCCTGGAAATCACATAAATGCAAGGTGGCCTCATTTGCACATACATACGTTCCTCCGATTTTTCCTTGATGAACACAAATGGTGGGCGAGCGAGAGCGTGAATGAAAGAGGTAACAAGTTAACTCGCTTACTTTAACATGCCGATTTGTATTATGTGTGGAGGTGGTGATAGACACTTATATATACATTAAACATCATATGGGAGGAAGTTTAGTCTCGGGGAGGAAATGACATCGATTTTCATTTATTGGCAGAGTTTGTTTACAACAAAGAAACAACTTCTTTTCAGATGTTCTGTAGCTGAACTATTGTGTGTTTGTTTACAGTCAGTCAGGTAATGAACAATAATACCTGCTGATCAGATTCATTTGTGCTAGATAGGAAGTTTCATTTCACTGAAGACCATCCTGTGAATTTGATCAACACTGTCAATGAACAAAACTGCAGTTGTTAAAGCGAAATATCTCATTTGCAGATGTTGATCAGTGAAGTTTGCATCGTTGGTTTTGCACTGGAGCTTAGAGGCTAATGTGGTCAATAAGATATGGAAGCAGTAGTTAGCACGGTGCTAACTGTGTAGCTAAATCATCACAAACGTGCCTGAAGCTGAGTTGTTCAGTAATCTCAGATTGACTTGATTGTGTAAGGTGACCAGATTTCTTTTTTTGTTCATGAATATTTATTGTTTTTTTGACATCATACATACTTAAAATGCAACACTAAAAACACAGATATTTACGGCGGGGTGGGGGTTTATGATAGTATCGGCATCATGCCCATAGACCAACAATCAAACAATGAAATTAAAAATAAATATCAAATTAAATTAGAATACTCTGGCCCTACAAGGACAAAACCAGTAGCATTTGACCAGTTCTGAACTGTGGCAGCCTTCGTCTAGTGAAATCTGGCTGTAGCCCGTTCCAAAATAAGAACATGCAAAAACCAGCAATGCCAAGATGAAGATAACTTAATATCTGACGCAAACCAACCCTTCAAAATAGACTTCTTGGAAGCTGTTAAGGCTGCCATTAAAACTCCTTTGTGCTGTGAATTAAGAGTCTCATTAGAATCATCATTTAGTAAAAGCAAACCTGGACATAAAGGAACGTCAGCATTTAGGAGAACAGACAGGGTTTTTACCACATAGCTCCAAAAAAACTAAATATATGGCCACTGCCAGAACATATGAAAATAATCCCCAACAGAGCCTGAATTACATCTATTACAACTTCTTTCACTGGACGGTTTCATCAGAAAGGCACAGCATGGGGTTATGTAGATCCTGTGAACTAACTTGTGTTAATTGAGACAAATTGAGACAAATTGTAGTAATAAACGATCAATTTTTGGATGAAGTGAAAATATTATGCCGTATCACACCCCAATCTAGAATTACAGATGACCAGATTTCAGTTTAATATATTATTAAAACATCCACTGTTTTATCTCTGAAATAAAAAATGGGGGACAGTTCCAGTTTCACATATTTTGACCAGGGTAACTGCAGTACTGTAATAAACTGTGGCAAAAGCCGACAGATAAAATTGGGTACTAAGTAACTTTGTAATGTTACGACCTGGTTTAGGCCGTAAAAGAATGGTGTGATGCAAAAAGTAAAAAGTATGCTTATGAATGTGTGAGTAGTGTATAATAATGAGACTAAAACAGCAAATAGTTCTTAATAGCAAAGCCAAAGTGTATCATACAGGGAGATTCACTTGAAAGAGGCCCTGAAAATTCTGTTGTAGCTCCCGTTAGGATA